GATTTCCCGGTTAGTATGAGCATGCTGACATGGAGAGTTGCGGTGCTAATATGGACTTTAATTTTTATTTTCCATTTCTTTAAAAAATACCTACTTTTCCCAGCAACGTAGCGGGTAGTTCGTTGTGTTTCTTACGCTTTAGGCATAACTCCAGACAAGAAGGGATTCAGTCGGATAGAAATCATATGTAGGTACCTAGTGGTATTGGCTCTTCATTACCATTCTCTGATAAATACATAGTACACCACCGGATAATATGCCTCATTCACATGTATGTATAGAGCGACGTTGGCGGGATCGTCTTACACGTGTAAAATATACAAAGCTTTGCTGATCCGGATCTACCCAGCTCGGCGTGTATACGTACGTGCTTCGAAGCTTTTCTTGATCGACAGTTCCCACAGTTAAAATATCGTCAACCTGATCGACAGCACCAAATACTTGACTAAATAATGTAGCGGTGAATATTAATCCTCCTACATAGATGAAACTGACAAAACTTTCCAATAAACTTTGAAGAATACCTAGGTAGGTAGATACGTAGTAATAGTGCTATCATCTTGAGCGTTGTTGTTGTCCCGTACCTAGTAGGTACTTTTTTATGTTCTTCCTACTATTTGCCAATGGACAGAAAGGTCCGTGGTCACGATGAGGGGTATCGCCCGCCCCCTAGTGTAGAAGGATTTAACTGTATTTCTCTCGTCTACCGTCGAACGATATAGATTGGTTGGGGAAATGCACGATTTGATGAATGCGGCGCGGTGACGTCTCTCGATCGGGATCAGAAACCCCTCAGTAAAATAAATAGAAACGGCTAGGGCTGGAAGAAAGCCGTTATTACACCAGGTTGGATCTTTAGCGGATTTTCTCGTATTCCCGATTTCTAACCATGTAATTTAGCATCAATCGTCAATAATACCATGCCACAATCCCATGGTCATTTCTGGATTAGCTAGAGCAGTAAGCACATAATGTTGTGTAAACCCAAGCATTTCAAGGGGCAACGATTCTCCAAAAGCTGAGAATGTCGGCGCCATTATTTTACGAGTAAAAACATGTATCCGCTCTCCGAGAAGCTGATTTCATACAGCCGGTAAGCCTGACAACGGGGAATCACATCATCACGCTGTAACATTATTCTCCAAGATGGGCTGCATCGACTGCAGTCTGGGCCATAAGGGCGGCACGCCGAAAGCCATTGTAAACCCACTACGCTATATCATTCGTTGAAGGAATGTTAGGAGGTCCGATGCTACACGTGCTCTATCCGTCAGCCAGCCATCGCAAGATCGACGAGTCACGAAAAGGCCATTCTTCAAAGACCCTATTTCCCCACACCCACGCCCACACCTACACACCCTCTTCCCCAGACTCTCTACTCTTTCGAAAGCCACGCATTGGAGAAAAATCTATGCAGGGTTTGTGCAACTCCTACCGTCAGGGCCCCAGTTACCGTAGTCTATGGTACCTAGTAATAGGCATGAAGACAATGGAATATCTGTTGTTAGTGGTTGCTAACCATCCCCGCGCCGCCCGCCACCTAATGTGGTCGTGAATGATACCCCTCACTTCGGACCTACAACGCTGAGACCTGCTATGTACATACATATTGTCACACCGCAGCAGGATATTCTTCCTTTGAGAGAAGGGTCTGCTTCGAATCTTCGATTTACGCGCGGATCTATGGATCCACGTTGAATCGGCAGCTACTACTCAACGTCAAGAATCGACGATTGCAATGCAGTAATAGAATTACTCGGTAGGTGAGTCCAAGATGCTCCGGAAATAGAGTATTATTTCGAGTTCTTTCTTTGATATCCAATTACCAATATCTAGTACTGGTGGATAGAGAGCGATCTTCATTGCCATTTTCTACATAGTACAAAAACAGATGGTAATAAAGACGGGACAAGGTACAGGGATCTATAATGAGTATAATGACGCTACGACGTAGTAGGTATGTGTTTAACTCCTGAGCACACACATTTATCTTCCGCCGCAAGCGACAATTGCGACTGATGCGTTGAACATACTACATAGGATTCAAGAAAAAAAGAAATAGAAGAACAACACACGGTAAAAACATAGATATAAGATAGAATTAACTACAACAAGACAGTATTGTATCATGGAGAAATGAGGCATAAGACTCAGCTAACGCCAGGTAAGCCATGTTGGTATAGGATGCAAGCCAGGGTCAGCGTCATCGATATGTATACCTACTCAAGAATAACAGGATATTGCCAGATGCTAGTTAAGAAAGGGAAGGACCCCGTAACAGGAACATTTCCTCAGCATGGGACTTCAGTCCAGTGGGCGGATAGCGTGGATTGGGTTGCTGGCGAGTGCCTTGCAGAAACCTGGGGTAATGGATCCCGTACAGCATCACTCATCCCGCTCGTCCCGGATAACTCGAAGAGTCTTCTTCTATTCGACTAGGATGAACCCGAGTTCTTCCCCAGATGCGGTCCGTCGAGTTCCTTTAAAGTTCTATAGTGTATTCAAACATATACATAGTCGAATGTATTTATAAATCTACCTCTAATAGTCTTAATTAGGAAGATGCTTATTTCCCGAGCAATACCACGTAGGCAAGCAGCCTTGTGCAGCACAGTGTAAACATTAATTTCTTTATTATATCCCTCTCTATATGTATCCCGTCTCGGCCGTGTACTGTACAGTATTTGTCGAAGGTCTGAATCCTGATATTACTTGCATCAAAGTCCTTGCAACTGATGCCGTTGTTGGCCATGTATCGTATTGCATCTCGTTCCCGACGCTCGACCCCTCCCAGGGTCTTGCCGACCATAAAAAACGATCTATCACTTTCTATCACCTGCTGCTGTATGCATGTCTACCAACCATAACAAGTCCAAGGATAGCTTGGCTGTCTAGGGCCATTGCAGAAGGAATTCATCAAACAGCTGCATTATTATGTTGGGAATTGTAGATCTGCGTCTTAGCAGCCTGATCATCGTCAGAGCACGCGCGTTGAAGATCTGACAGCCGCAGACAGGTCTCAGTTAAAGCTGCAAATATGCAGTAGCAATACATAGAACCGGTAGAACGTAGCACAACTACCCTTCAACGTTTATCAATTTTTAGGACGAGGGTGGTGGTACGGATAATAATCCTGTGCCGCTATAACGCAGCCAGCCTTCCCGCCTCAAGTCAGGACAAGTCGGGCATAGAAATGAGCCGCGCAGACTTTCTCGTCACATCTAGTGAAGTTCGTGGAACATGCCGCATAGAATTTTTAGTTCCAGAGGCAATATCTTGCGACTTTCCACCAAAAATCAGGCACATCCTGCTCCGTGTGTCAACATAGGTATTCGAGCCTAACCACGAATGAGGCACTCAGTATACCACATTAGCTTCAGTTAACCTTCTTGGCCAGGTAAGGGAAAGGATCGTCGCTTCAGGGTCCAGATTGATACCTAGAGTAATGCTCACTTGTCGGAGTTCACTCCATGCCACGCCTAATCAAATAGCCAAAAGGTAGGTAGTTAGAATTAATATTGTAGCTTGTGAGCTCAACAGCCCCTAGTTTGCGCTCAGCTTGGCGCCAAAGACGAGCGTTTTTTCGGCCGAGAGAGTAATTGGAGCGTTGCGTACTAATCGTTCGTTCTATGTCACAACGATACGAAAAGAGGTATCATACTCAATGCTACTTAACGTACCTAATCGATCCACGACGCTATCGACATAGAAATGGTCAAGGTAGCATGATTCTTACTTAAATCAAGGTGTATGTATTTGTCTAGTGTATGTACTTAGATGTGTATATGAATAACTAAGAACATATACGTTGATTGGCCTATGTATTTACCCTCCTCCTATATACATACACTAGTTCTCTACTCTGCCCTATGTTGCCACACCTTCAAACAGGTACATTAGTCACAGCCACAATCCTCGTCGTCTAGTTAGTGTATATACATAATCTGCTCTGAATCTTTGTGTTCTCCACCTACCTACTTTTATCGTCTTCGTCGTCGTTTAGAGTTACGTATAAAGCCGCCTCTTACTTAGTGTCAAAATAGCTTATCGTCCAATAGGGTCTGTTCCGCTCTCCTTTCCATATGTTATCTAAGTATACATATGTAGCACCTAGATAGAAGCTTCAAGGCTTCTCGGTTCCATATATTTGATAAGCTGGGATCAATGGTGTAATGACGGAATGTTAGCTGATGCGAAAGGGGGGGCCAATCCCATCTGGTCGGCACATCTCATCTTACAGCTGCAAGCCACCTTCTTACAGCCCCTCCAAGCGCTCTCGGGTTTGAAGATAATGACGAAAGGCAAATTATTAGGATGCCTCTGCCAGCTCTGCCCATGTACGCACCCGAATTACCCTCTGAAACTTAACGACATGCTATCACGTCGCATTAAGCCCACCAGACCCTCCTTTTCCTTTCCCTAACGCTACTCAGAAACATCGTGGTGATCACCAGGCAGCCCAGAGTAGTTCTCTCTCTATGATTTAGGCTAGTTGCGAACATGTGATGTGCCAAGTCTTGATCTTAGATCCTGACAGGTCAAACTAGTCGCCATTTCTAAGCGATACGAGCCACATAATTCACGCCAAGACACTTTTTCTTGGTCTTTGAATTTGTCTTCTCATTCGGTGTCTCACCTAAGGTATGGCTAGGATGGCATCGATTTATTTTTCCCTCCACCACCAGCCGCAACCACAACTACAAACTCACTATGTAGATGAAGACAGTCCTCTACTCCAGGTAGCTAACATATGGGCTGCTCATGTACCTATGTAATAAACCCCATCTACGGTAGGTTAAGCAGCCCCTGCTTGCCGGACCAACTTCCTCGCCATTGCCGTCTTTAAATCTCCCGTGACTTGCTACCGTCGTGCTCGGTTAGCGTGTCCTTGCTCAGATCTGCTACACACCTCCTCACCGAATGAGGCGAATGTTATTTTCTCAAACATAGTGTGGCGCATAGCATCTAACTATTGGTTCCTCAACAACCGAGAGGATATTGTCGGGAGCCAGCAGACGCGAGATAAGCCCGTGAAACCCGCCTATCTCCCCAGCTCGAGAGGGTGTTTCGACCCTCGAAACACCTTAAAAATTTCAACTTGGATGTACACCAGCACGGATCTTCCGGGAAAAGACGGTGCGGCGAACGGCATTCCTATGTCTAGGTACTTGCTTCGCTGTATAGTTTGCCGATGTAGGGCACCATGATATGAATACCTACATAGGACCAGGCTCCTCGCCACAGACGTCAAGCACAGCCGAAAAGACACGACTTCAACTCTTCATATCGTATAGATAGTCGATAGTCGATAGTCGCCCTATCAGCACACCACTAACTTTTCCGGAATACCCCGAATATTAACCACCTTTGCTGATATCCCGTATAATCCGCGACCCCTATGACGATCGTATCAACCCAAGTGTGTCTAATCGCAGGTAACCCCCCACGCAAGCATTACCACCCTAGCCAGACGAGGCGACACGGTCCGCTACAGCCCGTCTCTCCGCAATGTATGTCTCCCACGCATTACCGTCGCATCGCTTATCCGATAGGCAGACGAGCCCCCCCCGGCTCGGCTCAGTAGTACTCCCTCCCAACGTAGTAATAATCACCAGCCAACTCTTCGGCATTCCTACGACCCTGCGCCTGCATCGCGTGCTTGACTCGGTTCGCCTCGAGTCTCTCGGCCGCCGTCCTCCGGGTGCGCGCCCCGGCTTGCTCGATACGGCGCTGGACTTCTATCGGAGGGTCCGGTCCGGGAAGTAGACACTCGCGGGGCAGGGGACCAAGTTCTGTCCAGACGTCATAGTAGCGTAATGCTGCATTGATACCGCGCCACGCGAGCTCCGGGTCAGCCGCGTGTTCGACGGCCATCATATCCGTGAAGCCCTGCAGTGTAAGCATTGGCATTCCACCGTATGGAAGCTGTGGGCGCCCAGGGTTGCGCACAGCGACGCGGTGCTCGAAGGACCATGCTTCGCATGCAGCCTTCAGCTCGAAGTCTGCCAGGTCTTCTGGTTGAAACATCACATTCGGGGCTAGGTTTGATTTCCCTAATTTCTTATTAATTTTTATCAAATATGACAAGCTTCTATCTAGCTTATGACAGGTATGCACTAGGTAGGGGAAGGATTAAGGCACCCACAGACGTTGTCCCCCCCTACAAATCCGTGCACGTCTAAGAAGGCCGATAGAGTCTCGGGCGTGATAGTACCTGCACTTCGGGAGTCGAGACTGGCGAAGAAGGCAGCCAGTAGGGCTTCCATTAGTTGTGTCGCCGTGCCGTCAAGATTAGATAATGGTCCCCATGTCATTGGCTGACGTATGGTATGCGGTCGTGGGACGCCAGGAACCTGTCGGAATTGTTGCTGTGCAGACGGGCTCGGCCGGGGAGGCAGAGAAGGGTTCACCGGACCCCGGAGCTCGTACCCGGGTGGGCGTGGCGGGATGGGTGGTGGAGCATCCATGAAACCGACAGGAAACCAGATTATAGTATCACAAACTCTTTTCTACAACCTTGCACATGTAAGGAATGGTCATACACTTCCTTTATGCATTTATTTTTCACTGCTATAGCCGCCATAACCATCGTATCCGAACATTCAGCCTTAACCTACGCCTTAGCTGAACGGACTACACTCCAATTCTTCTCAGCCGCACAAAATGGCACAGCAAAAGTCGGTTAGTTTTTCCCTTCGAAGTTCGCATCAGGTCAGTGTGACATAAGTGTAGTTTACCTAAGCCCAGACGAGTTACCGTGCGAATGGTTCATGGCTGCCCAAGTAATGTGAGCCAGTGCCGAGATGACGTTGGACCGGGTCTTGAGAACTTAAGAGAGTCTAGAACGTGCAGTAAGCCGAGGGAGATCTCAGTCTCCAAGTACCTTCAGATGGGTTAGCTTGGCTGACGATAGCCGCATCCGGCGGCATCTAGCCCCTGTCGTTCGGGTCGATAAAAGCATTAGATCCTGTGCGTCTGCAGCCACATGGTGGTCTAGACCGCTCCGAAAAAGCTCGTGAGATGCATTAGACTCCCGGCGAACTACTGGACGCGGAAATTGAGGACAAATTAGGGACGAGTTTGGGGTAATGTTAAGTACATACATAGTAGGTCCATTCAGGATAGATGATGTCGTCGCCACCCTAGCTAGTTGGCTTGTATGTAGAGAGCATCCCTAGCATGACGTCCCGCTAGAATACATAGTCTATCTACCCGTCTATACTATATATGAAGCAGTTCGAAATTGACACGCACATCCGCATGCTGCGATGTGTCTCCTGCATACCGTCACCAGGTTGCTTTTACCCTTATATACGCGGGAATTGCCGTTCAAACCCAGAGGGTCTAGCCAGGTCTATGCATAGCCGCACGAAGAAATTGCACAGGTATAGATAGAAATTAAAACATAGTAATCCACTCGTTCTATACCTAGTTCACGATCTGATAAGTACTAGTCCTGAAACCCTTCATACTGACAGTATGATGCTGTCATATGCGAGACTAAAATAAGACGACATGGTATCGAACTTGGTTTAGCAAACAGCAGCATTGATCTAACGGATACTAACAGGTAGGTTTGGTGTCTTCCCATCTGGACCTTCTATTAATTAGGAATGTCGGCAGTAGCGCAAACCTGCTTTGGTTTTTTTTTTGGTTCTTTCAGGCCTCTTACCTTCTATTGAGGCTCTCATGCATAGTCTCGAAAGGAGGTGTAAGCAAATAACTCCGCTGCCCGCCTTTGCATTACATATCTGTCGTGTAACAAGTTCGGGGGCGAAAGGCTCGAATGTTAATGGTGACGATGCTGTATCAGGGTTCGGTAGGCCCCGCTCAAGTGTTCATGGCCTGATAGACTCGGCACTTTCATAGCCCATGGTGTTGAGACTGCAAGCTGGTCTCTACGATGGTCAGAGGCAGTCCTATCTTCCGTATCTTATGGGAATGTGTTGATCAAACCAGCTTAATGCCGCTCTCATAGGAAAGCGTGAGCTAATTGGCCTGCGAATGAAATAAAACCTAGATCCATACTGTGCTAATCGGCTTGCCTCAGTATCGAGTATTAGTTTAGAAAAGAAAATAACCGATAGTTGTGCTAAGAAAATAGCTTTCAGTATAAACTTAAGTCAGAAATCAAGGCATTAGTTTGAGGCATCTTCAATGATGAATGTTTCTGCCGGTGCTAATATTTCAAACTCTCTTAAACTCTTCTTAAATACTCTACTTGTAAGTAATTGCATACCTACTAGTAGTCTTATCCAAGTTAAAGTGCAACTACTCGTGCCATAGGATAGGTACCTACTTAGTTTCCTTCTGCAAAAATTATGAGAACTACGTACTAGCCGTGCAAGTCACTTGAATAAAGTGCTATGCTGAACTTAACAAACTTAGCTAGGTATGGCTACCTGTGTATAATAAACTTTGGAAAGATATATTGTATACCAATTGTGCTGTCTCCTAGAAAATGCAAACTACCTATCATCTCTATACATCGTTTATACATGAGTAAGGTAAAGGAAATCTGTTACACACCTTAATAAGTTAATATAGGTACCCATAATCTAATTACTTAATAGCACTAGAAACTCTCCATCATAGAGCAGACTGAGTTATAAAGGTTTAATCATGTATAGAATATAAGCGCCTACAACACTGCCAGCCGTCCATAAATGAGGCAGAATAAGACCTGCATGAGATGAAACAATTAGGATTTCCAGGAATGATGCCAACTATATGAACTACATCATGTGACAACACATCATCCATCAACTGTTTAAGATATTCCATGTCGCTTTAAATTAATACAATTATAAACTCCAAAGGGCATCTGAAGATTTACAGAGACTAACGATCGAATATACTCGCTCTCAAAAATAGCTTTCCATGAATATAAAAGGCTGTGAAAACGAGGCAGTGCAATCCAAGTTAATGCGATGGGAGGCAGCCGTTATAGGAATTGACCGGCCATAATTTGGCCAGCCATGTTTCATCCCAGTACCAACACCACCCTTGGGATCAGCTCTGAATAGGACAGCAGGTAGCAATGCCTCGAAGCACAGGACTCATTCAAAAGAGAGGTCCTAACCTTGTTGTCTTATTTCCTTAGTTACCATCAAGCTTAGGTACTCAATTAAATTCCCCAATTATTCCTATACTATACGAGATGACTCCTACGAAAAGCACAGCACCTCCAGGTAAAAATAACTATAAGAAGAGAAATACCGACAGACCGTCCTGTATATTCTCCCCTCTCCCCGCTCACGAGTACGAGCGTAGCTTAAATCCAAAAGAGCTCGATCAATTCAACCAACGAGTGCAAAGGCTAGACAAACGGGTCTGGCGTAACTGCAACAGACGCAATGTATCCGAATTCTGCTGGGAAGTCCACGCGTGGGAGGACGTATTCGACCAGATCCGAGAAGAAGACGCATTTCGAATGTACCTAACCTACTAAAACCCCCGTTCAACACCAAGTACCTACCTACCGAGTATCATCAAGCTAACCCGACAACAGGGACAAAATCGACTACACGGCGCTTGAAAAAGACAAACACGGCAACTGGCAAATAATCAAGCGAACGCCAGACGCAACTCTCGGCTTCCAGCCTACCCACGGCGGCTTCGAAGCCCAAGTCCAGAGCGCAAGAGGCAACTGGGTCCCTCTCTCCCGGATCTGCGAGGTAACCCGCGTCCCCTTCGACCGGGACGCCGACGCTCGGAGCCTCGTGTTCCCCTTCGCCATCTACGAGGCCAAGAAGAGCTACTCCTCCGACTTCGAAGCCGAAGCGCAGATCGCGCATGCGTGCGACCGCTACCTAGGACTGCTAGACAGCGTCGTCCGCGACCCCAGAGACCCTGCCAAGTACCAGTGGCGAACCAGCCGCGAATACCAGATGTTCGCCTTTACGTCCTGCGCTTCGGAGTGGAGGGTATACGCCGCTCGACGCTACGGCGAGTATCACGTAAGTCGCAACCAGCATCTATTACCTATTACCTAAACCTACCTAGGACTGCAGCTAAGCCCAGCACAGAACGTAGAGACGATCTGGGCAGGTGACGTGAGGTTTCCAATCCATGCCGTAAGTCTACTAAGTATCGTGGATCAAATCCAGAGGTGGGCGGCCGATGTCTTCCGGCCGTTTGTTATCAAACATTTGGACATACGCGCAAAACTCTCCGTGGACAGCACGCTCAAGTGGAATAGGCAAGGATTTGTTGGTCCCGAAGCCGCTGGGCCGCCGTGCGTCATGAGGACATATCGTTGTCGCGATGTATATAAATGTACGAAAAGACTTAAATTCGTGCAGACTGATGGCGAACTCGTTCCGCCGGAAGTGCTAAGCCGAGTCTCGAGGCTATACTCTGGTACCGTAGTAGTTAGAGAGCTTATCCACATAAAATAGTGGTAATACCATGGAAGTCCTTCGCGGAGGTTTAAGCACATACTTGTGTACGTATAGATTAGTTATATTATTATTAGATCATAGAATAAGTGTTTACCTGAGAGGAAACGGACTTGTAATAGAAGACATCATATCATCCTTCGTAGGAGAAGTTCGTATTAGACAAAGAGAAGCTATTATTAATAGTAGTTAAAAAGTTCTCTCGCTGTCTATTAACAATTCTTACTATACTATGCTCTATAAACAAGGCATTCATGCCTTACTGGAGTCTATCGTTACGTAACTTAATACAAACAAGATGACTCGCTATACGTAGAAACCTACCGCTGTCTTCATCGAAGGGGCAAATAAACTTCTCCCTCAATCATAGCAATAAATTGTTAGCGCTCGCTTCATAGAGACGGTTTGTGTAAGGGTTGCGATCACCAGGTTTTGTAGGCTCCCGATTCGTCAGTATCGACCAGATGAAGCGAATAGTAATGCTGCCGAAATCCGAGCCTTTAAGCCTTTTTGTTGTCGGTCTTAACTCGTCCGGAAACCACTCTTCTAGAGTTCCTCCGGGTCTTCCTAACTCTCGCCTAACGTCCAAGTCCTCGCTACCCGCGATCATGACCCCTACTGCGACACCAGAAAGCCACGTCCACATCAGGCCGTCACCACCGAAACCGGCCGAAATCCACTCATTTGGCTGTTTATAGCCAGCGTTTAGGACCTTGTTACTCCGTAGGTCTGGATGACGGCCTGTTAATGAAGCATCCAGCTGGCCAACAAATGGTAGTAGATCCCCTGTGACGCTCATCACTCCTGACCATGTGTGTACAGTTCTCCCGCCATTCGACGCCGTTTCCCTACCCTAAAAGGGCCCGAATATCAACGGAAACAATCCATTGAGATGAACAACGGCTAGGGGGTCCAAGAAGGCATCGTTCTACACGCCAATCATGCTTGTACCGTGGCCTGCTGCGCGCGAGAAACCTCCACTGGTAATAATATGCCCCGGACTTCTCTGGTTCGCTGGTCGCTGCATAGCATTGTCACATGTTTTCCCATGCACAACAGACCAGGCATATCTTTTGCCTAGATTAAAAAGGCCAAATCTATGTCTACGTAAATTAGTATTTATCCATCCTCTAAAAACCTTATAGGGGTCATAACACCCCATGAGGTTAGTTAGTAGGCCTTTTGACTCGTCTCGGGAGTCAAAAAGAGGAGGGGGAATTCTTGCCATGACTTACCCTGGCCTCATCGCAGTCATGGTTCCGAGGATCCCGGTCATCTTGCTACGCAGGCCGGGCACGAGATCGGGGGCGAAAGCGTTTGTAGCGTGTACGATGTGATTGCATCTGAAGTTGCCACGCGTGGTTCGGACCACATAGCCATCTTATGTATGAAAACATTCTATGTCAGCTTTACAATTCTAGAATCCTAGAATCTTCACCGTCCTTGGTCGAATGAGCGGAAACGATAAGGCTTTCACACTTACTACTGAGCGTTAGCCATTATATACCTTACAAAGGTGAATTCGAGACCAATTTAGAAAGGGAGGGCTGAAAATGACAGTATGGGTTGTATATAATACGTACCATGGGTCTCCCTTGACTGAGTCAATGGCAACAACGTTCGTATGTGTCATTATATAGAGAAATGGTTTATACTTGAGTAGAAGAGTATTCCATATGGAGTTGACGAAATGGAATGGTGAGATCGTCTGTGGCTAAGGTTAATGTAAGAAGAGGAAATAGAAAGCTTGAGCATTACCGCTGAATCGTAGGATAAGGCTCCTTCCACTGCCTGGCTCACATTGAACCTCTGCATAACCATATTAATATTTGCATGCGCTTTTCCATTTTCTTGGAAATGAGTCGATATAAATTGTTAAATGGCAACTTACCTCTCGCGCCTGATCCGCGCCAAAGGTTGCAATCTTAAATTCCGGAATCCACTGTGCAAATAAACGCGCCTTAGCGAACGCAATTTTGCAATCTCGTTCAGTAAGGTATAGTTCTACCATCTCCTTCTCGCGGAACTCCGTATAGCCATCGCCCCGATCTATCTCTTGGCATAGCTCCCTCAGCACTTTGATATGAGCTAGTTGGAATCTTACAAGCGCTGCGGCACGATGGAGACCTATAGTACTCCGTAGTCTGTGAAACATCTCATGCGGTGCGCAGTTCAAAAGACCATTGCCACGGCCCGTTCCGCCCCCACACATCTCTCGGGACTCAATGACGAGAACGCGCCGTAGGTTGTTCACACGTCTGGTTTCAACCAGTATGGAGTTGGCGGCTGCGGCTGCGGCGATACCAGAGCCAATGATTATAATTTCGGCCTGATCCGATGGTATTTCTTGTACGATGTTCATGATGTCCGGATATGGCGGATCTTTTAACTAGTAGGACTCCGTCGCATCAGGCGTCGGGGGTCCTTCTGGGTGGTGCGCTCGTTTCGTGACATCATTGAATGTATCCTTTAAGTGGAATGCTGCTTTTGTGGCGAACCATAGGGATTTGGTTGAGGACTGAATACCGCCCATTTTGAATATTTGAGTACTTGGATGTGAATGTAGGCATATATGGATTCGAATTGAGTATAGATTGGATGAGAATTAATAATATGTCAAATTTAAGCGAGGGTGAACGATAATCAAGTGGAATATTGAGCGATGATCGGTTTGAATGTTATATGGAAAATATATGAAACTCGACACATATGTAGTTCTTTGATTGAATTCAACGATATAATAAGAAGGGAGTAGGTATTAGACCTATACCTTCCTATATTTTAACTCTCGACTTGAAGTAGGTGTTGCCGTTGTTTTAGGGGTTGTGACTTGTTAGTCATCACACACAAAGACATTCTACGGCAAGTGGTTCGTGTGTTACACCCCATCTGGGCTGCTGGGGAAGATGTACATATCTAGTAACTTCCATCCACCTTTAAGCGCATCGTCAAACGAAGGACTAAGTGAATTCTCAGCACATACATACCAGGTACATACATGTATGTCTGTCCTCGTCGTTGAGATTCAATATAAAATTCAACTAAATACACTAGTTGAAAAAAAAATAAAAAATAAAAAATGGTGAAAATTCTCAGAATCCTGAGTAATAGCGGACATCAACTATCCCGCTCTTACCCGCCGTCACCAAGAGCCATGCCATCAGCGCCAAACAGAAACACAAAGCCTAGAGCCAGCGCAGACAAAGTGGCTACAACCACGCAAGCACATCACAAAAACAAGAAGTCTTCCTCTCAAAAGAAGCCCCTGCCGCTCCCGGGGCCGGGTCAGGTCAGCAACGCCACGCAAGTACCTGTAGGCGGTGAAGGCGTGAAACTAGATCGCCGTAAGTGCCGTTGCTATCTCCGTTTTATTCTCCCGTCTTAGAAATACACATACCTACCTACCTACCTATGTAGACAGAAAGCTAGGTAGTCGTATAGGCGATGAATAAGCGTTGCTGACATATTCATTGCTGCAGTGGGCCCGTTCGTTGTTAACAGAGACGGCTCGATGAGCCGAATTTCCAACTGGGCCAATATGCCCGAGTTCATGCGGAAAGATGCGCTGGTGGCGTTGGGCAGGCGAAATAAAATGCGTCTGGATGCACTTAGAGCCAAAAGGCAGTCTCCAGAGGGTCAATCCGGGAATGGAAACTAATATATTCAAGGTGTACATATGAATATAACTTTTGGGATATCTAGGGCGTTTCAGGATGGCGGCACAAAAACGAGGTTGAATCGACTCTGGCAAATATACACGTAGTTGTATATTGTATTAGGTTAGGCATTGTACATAACTATGTATTTGTTATTCATTCAATTGAAATGGTGATTAGATAATATCTGGTCCCGTCAAGGAAACACAGGAGCATTGTGTCAAGTATAAATGCATACCTATCTTGTGAACTTATAAGATCATCCCTTATGATAGTAGATCGTTGTGGACAACAAACATAACATAACCCTGCTTGCCCTAATAGTAAGAGGCCAGTGAAGCGAGTAGGTACTAGCGTTGAGGTGCGATGTGGTACCTTACATGTCTATTTGTAAGCAATGGTAACCGGGGATCCGGGGGTGAGTGGCGGATCCGTCGGGGGCGTTAAAACAAAGACGGTGGGAGACGCTAGGCTTCCAACGTAGATTCCGGTAAAAGCGCTAACAAACTCGAGGGAGCCTTGGATACGCCCTCGTTCACTTAGAGAAAAGATATTCTTACTACCGCATCAAAACTACGGTAGAATATATAGTTTATAGGCCATCTACAAGATTGATATCACGAAAATGGTGATCCGCTAGGCAAAACATATGTATGCTCATATATTGCTCATATATTGGAGTAAAGAGTAAGGCGATTACCCTCGAATCATGCTTCAAAATCAGACGTGATATATCCCCAAAGCCGCCGCCGCCGCCTAACAGTGCGCAACCAATATGATTTCCCCGTAACGCCATCATTAAATGTTTCAATGGTATCATCATGCTGAGAGTTTACTATGAGGCCTTCTCGGCTTCCGTCTTAGCATTACTCTCCGACTCCTTGCCAGCTGGCTTCTTCTCATTATGCTTTTCCAATAACGTGGAAATTAGCGTTTCGTTCCCGCCCGTCTTTTCCATGACAAGCTCCCTTAACCATTTGTTCTCGGTCTCTAGAGTTTGAATTCGGACCTCGAGGGTTCCGACCTTGTCACTTAGCTCCTTCTCGCGCTTTTCGAGAGCTTGCTCGCGAGCTTTCTTCTTAATGCGGAATCTTGCGCTGGCGGCCGTATTTCGCCTCCGCTTGTCCTCTTCCGCAGCTAACCGGGACTGCTCCTCGAAGGACAACTGCCGGCGAGGTGGAACAGCAGGATCAGCAGACTTTCGTTTGTCTCCCGTCTGCGGGATTGAAGCCCCGTAGGTGTTCTGTGGCGAGCCATTGGGAGGGAAAGTTGGCGAAGGCTGAATAGGTTGTAGGTTCCCTAGGTTGTCTGAGAAGGCTGAGACATTTGGTGTTGAATAAGGGTGAAAGTCAAACCCGTTGAAATCGCCTGAAGACATGACGTGACGTTAAAAACTGTGGCCCAATTGACAAATGCAAAACAGAATCGTGACAAAACCTTTCTGAGGTGCTAAACATCATCGATGACGACTTAGTGTCTCGAGAGGGATATAAGTTTAAGCCATTGCTGTGAACTCTCGACAGCAGACTTGGTGGATTTGAGTTGGCTATTGATCTCAATAACCTACTCCAGATCACCTAAAGATCACGGGATATTGCACCATAGCTCGATTGCGCAATCGCAGGGTAGTCTTTCGCGACCATAATAGGCACTGGCACAGAACGCACAGAACACACCTAAACCGAGCGATCGCTGCAATCCAAATGCAACATGGACCAACATGGACCAACCCGCACCAATCACGGCTCGAACACATGAAAACTCATAGTGGGGCAATCATAAAGAAGTGCCAAAAATGCCACAAGTGCCATTAAGTGCCAGGCCTGTGATAAGACGAGGGACTCCGCTTGGTGGACACACCCCCAAATTCTCTCTTCTCCCACTGACACCTGGGGGTGGTCGCTGCAACAAGGCGCGGCACCAACCATGCGAGCTCACATAGGCGATTGGAAGGTAGATGGTCAGTGTACCAACCAGCCAACCCAGGCACGAACGGTCAAGCGAGGCTGCCGAGCTGTAGGTAGAAATGAAGACCCTAGAAAAGTGACCCTCGACGTGCACACGCCATCGTGTAACACCAAAGCGCAATAATGATGCGGGGGAATTGATGGCGGAATCCTTCATCAATTGAATTTGAAGAAAATTGAATTGGATAATAAATAAGAAGGAGTAGGAATCGGGAAGAGAAAACAACAACAGAAAGACGTTGGGGAAACCCGTTTCTACTAACCTGGCAAGTTGAAGTCAAATCCCGCTAAATCACTACTCATTGGCCCTTCTTCTGTAGGCGACGTTGTTGACTGCGTGTCCAAACTAACGCTTGATGAAGCCTGTTGCTGCTGTTGCTGTTGTTGTTGTCGCTGCTGCTGGCTCTCGCTCGCATCCCAATCGATGAAATTGGTATTAGTGAACATGGCTAATTCATCGTCGAGGTTTCGTAGATTTTCCTCCGGTACTGCAGTAGGCTCCGGGACTCTGTTCAGGTCTTGTAATAATTGTGACACGTTCACGGCCTGGCCGCGCCGGCTGGAGTAACTCGGCGGCATATTTCCAAGTGACTCTCTTTTAACGAGCTCGCGAGAGCTTGAGGGATTCGGTAGCGTCGAATCGATTGTACCGCCCTTCGCTACGGGATATCAAAGCAGTGATCGGTGGCGGGTACGATTGTTTTATCTTTGCTAGATAAGACGGCGGAAATTTGTGAAGCGAGAGAAGATGACGGCGGGTAGCAGGTAGAAGGTTTGTGTAAATGTAAATGTAAAAGTAAAAAATTAGTAGTCAGGTAGTGTTCGGATGAAGTACTTCAAATTTGTGGTAGTGGGTCAAAGGAGCGCCGGACAAAAGCGAAGTTTGCGGCTAGTCACCACCGATTTTGACCGATGGGTGATGGGTCCGCCTATAGCTTAATAACAGCTGACGCTCGGTTGACGTTTTAGGGAAGATAAAAAAAAAAAAAAAACTATAAAAAGCCTCCTCTTGCCCCTCTTTCGTAGCCGATATCAATCGGTATTAGTCAGTATACGTAGTATAGGTACCTGCTGCGCTTACACCTCCGTTATACACAAAGTCTAACGTTAACCGTAAACTCTTTGAAAGTCTAGAATTATTCAACGCTGCATTCTCCAAAATCATTGATAAGTTGGAACAAAATGAAGGTTTGGGAAGGAGCAAGAAATTATTATCTGATTCCAAATTGGAGACGCAGGATTGACTTTAGTATCCATGTACTGTACATACTTGCATCTACACTACATACAAGTTGGTTAGTTAGGTTGGTTGGTCCAATGGCCCCTCTCATGATCCTACGACGTAGACCCGAGTATACCAGAAGCGGCATACAGTCCGGGCTTTGAGTGGATGACCTATTAGTCAAGCAAATTGGGTCGGACCAATTAAATGTTGTGGAGAGTTTTAAGCTTCCCACCTCGCCCACGCACCCGCGTGTATTTATACAGGCAATACAGGAACCCCCACTACTACAACCTGTCTGGAACTACTTGGAGTCTTGGACCCTGACTATCCCAAGCCGTCCTGCATGGTGATTGTTTAGAAAACTTGGCCTTGCTGTTCTCGACAGCTTTCTTATGCCCGTCTATTCCACTCTGTTACATAGTCCAATTTACTATAATAGCTATAATACTTGGTGGAGGGGACCCCTATTCTTTTCTTTGACCAAGCAATATTACTCTCATGCTTAGAAATCATGGACCAAACCAATGAGAGGGGAAATGGGTTATGGGGACACAAGATCGCCAAGGCCCTATAGCCCTTGCATGTGTTGCGAATTCTATTTTATCTCACGATATTATCAGGTAATTATTTCTTGTAGGTTTGTCTGCTTAGATGTATGTACTGTATTGATATGCTTGTCTGCTATACCACACTGCCACAGTACGTGCCTCAACCTGGATTGGTGGCGAGTCAGATCGACAGATCCATGATGGTATGATCCGGACGTGATCTTGATATATGCACGCAACGAAAAATAACATATCAGCCTTTAACTACGATAACTCTTGACGTCAACTTTGTTAATCCCTTTGTTGTACCAAAAGTCAAGTATCTTACACTACAGCTCCCTCCCCTATGCCACCAATCATCTTAGCAGTATGTAATTGGTACCTAGGGTCGGTACGGATCCGTAGACTGGTAGATATGCAAGTACGTGCATAGAACATCACAAGAAAAGTCCTGATATCTTAAGGACCTTACATATGAGAGATATTTCTTGCCTTACCCAACAGACCCAAGAAAATCAAACCTCCATCCCGCACTCGTTCGCCAAGAGTTCATCCATCCGCTATCGGGTAGCGTGGGGTAGTATGTACTTTTGTACCTGTAACTTGTAAGGACAAGTCAAGGTTGAATTCGGGTGCTCGGGGCCTCGGTATCTTGTTGCTTAACTAATAAAAGATCCATTCTGCCGGCGCTTCTCAGAGTTGCGGCGACGTCTCAGGGATGCTTCCCGAGTTGCGGGAACCTATCGGATGAACATATGCGGGTTCCTTTATTAGGAAGGAGAATCCGTCAGCTGCCCTGGCGCATACACTATATGTATGTGCATAGGTATGTATGTCAGTATCTTTCTGACTTTTATATAAATCAATCGGGAAATTCATATATGTAAGTCTTTGAATTCTATCTCCCGAGTCGCCGTATGGCCAACCAAGGAGAGCTAAGGATTGGTGCACATCCATGTACGGTATATTCTGAGAGAAAAATTAACCAATCGCGTATTTTATATTTCCGAGTGGGATACTATATTGGTGTTTGATATTATGTATGTTTTTGAGAATAATGATGCTGATGCATTGATTGAATAGTACATTATCTTGCCTATGTGCTATGTTTGATGACATAATCAGACAGCTGGCAGTACATGATAGCGTCTGGCAGCCACCTGTGCTATAGATTATACCCTTGTTAATAATGATCTTGACGTACAATAATAGATTACAACAATATCGTCAATAGTAATGCGATTTGTTCTCAAACTCTAAGCTCAGCTTTGAGTTATCACCACGCGCTTAGATAGAGGTTGCATTTTAATCATTTTAATTAAATCGGGTTGGGTAGGACAACAGGAAAACCGAACCATTCATCATACCAAAATGCGATAAGAGGCCATAATTCTCCGACGCGTCGCGTGTCCCACTTCAACCTCAGAGCATCAATCAAACATACTAGGTACTTCGACTATATTGTTCGAAATTGAAATATTTAACCAAGGGAGAAAGAATACAAACCGATGCAGTCATGGCACGACTATCGTTGCCAACAACAGCCCGTCTTTCCCCATCCTTACGGGTTGACCCCGCGAACAACACCGTGATTAAAACTCTTAATCGCCTCTCGCGATCGTCGCTACTGTCGCTTGTGCTGGACTGGTTAGACGAAAGAAACCAATACTTATGCCCGCCGCTTCTCCGCCGACCAGATGCTCCCCAAGATGAAGACGAAGATGACTTTTATCCTCCTGCGGAATCGCTTGAGGAGTTAAGAGGACTCTATGAATCCATGCAGGCTAGGAAGGGCGGCCGACGCGAAGTAGTCGATAGGATTCTCGAAGGCGATTGGCGATACGGTCTTAGTCTATACCAGCTAGCAATGGCAGACCTACAATACCTATACGATCACCCTGGCAGTCTCAAGTGGACCGCCTACCGTATCCAACAACTGAAGGTCCCGGCGCACGAGGATGATGCCGAAGGCCCAGAGAGAATAGACAAGGAATCGCTTGCTGTACCGCGTTTCCACCCGTCTACCTTCTTACAGAATTTGCAAGCCGAAGTGCTTCCCGACGTCAAGGCGCATTATAACTTTGACCGACCAAAGGACATGCCGCTTCTGTTGCTGCGCATTTTCATTATCGACTCCCCTTATAACACCGACCTAGCGGTCTCAACCCGGCATCGCGGCCGTCCTGGCAGCAATGGTAGCAATAAAAGCATAACTACGAGCTTTGATGCCTCTAGGACTATCTACATCGCTTTCCCAGACGCCTCGCCGCACATCTATATATCTAAATCCGCCGCCGGGGGCGCTTCCTCGTCAGCAAGCGCGGCGGGCGAAGCCAAGAGCCTACGCGCCCTTATCGTGGAAGGCATTCCAAAGGCGCTATCAAGACCACGCGAGCGGTATACTTTAAAGGGAACAAACCTAACGACGAAGAATCTATCTACCATGTTGGCAGTGAAGGGCGCGGGTCGCACAAATGCCGCAGGTGGCGGCTGGAGCATCTACGCTGGCACAGGAACCTCGGATTTGAAAACCGACAGCCCTTTGCAGACTTTACTGCCCACACCACCATTATCAGACGCATCGTCTATCGACACTGATAATACAGATAGCGATAGCCGCAAGCGTAGGAGGCCTGTGAATGATCCAGCGGATGTAGAGGATGAGAAACAAGCGAAACAAGCACGCTTGGCAGCACAGGCGCGTTTTGGCAACGCCGCAAAAGTGGACGATGGAAAGGGGATAGAGAGATTGGACGTCTTAATCGAGGACCCGTTTCCCGTAGATATTGCTAATTTCTCAGATGATGAGGAGTCTGAGATTCAAAGGGAGAATGAAGATAGGACAGCTGCACTGTCGCGACAGTCGTCGAAGGGACGTCGGAGTACGCTTAATTTGAGCGTATTGGTAGAAGATCAGGAGAATGCCGATGATACTGGCGGTGGAAGAAGAGACAACGACTGGGCACCTCAAATTAGGCTCTCGTTCCACGGGTCTCACGTCTTTGCTGGCATACGGCAGTTAGTTGAAGCAGGGATTGTTGACGGAGAGAAGATGCCGGGGTGGATGACGGGCGAGGAGGGCGTGACGATCGGAGCCGTGCGGCACGGTAGGATAAAAGGCTTCAAGGGTTCAGGATTATGAGTTATTGCACTATAAGCACTTCCTGCTGTTGTTTTGTCATGGCTGGCGTTGTCGGACAAGGAATTGCTATGCATAGGTAGCCTTGGGTGTTTGCGTTCTGATTTCTAGGAACGAGGTATGTCGGATAGGTTATCATATACCCAGTGAAGCATTTCGGGAGCGGTCTAATACGAAGAAAAAAGGCCTTATTCCTCTTTTTACCTTCAAAGTGTCCATTAAATGAACTCTTCTGATGTCTATCCTTCGCTTTCTAGTAATCTGTTCTATTCGTCTATAGGAAATACCTTGGTAGTATTCCGCCAGGCCGCCTCGCAAACCTCTTCTACCGAAACGCCTTTGATGCCGGCAACGATCTTTCCGACCCGCTCGATCATACACGGCTCATTGCGCCCCTTTACCATGGCGCCTTCAACCCACTTCTCTTTCTTCACGACTTTATAGCGCTCTGGCACTTCCGGTTCCTTCTTCTTAGGCTGCTTCTTGGACTGTTGCTGCTGCTTGCCCTTGGGTTGCTGCTTTGCCGGTTCTGACGGCGTACTAGTGCCAGTTGTTTCGGTGCTGGTACTCGTACTTGCGTCCGGTTGGGGTACGTCCGCAGGCTTCGGCGCGTCGATGAGGTACTTCCAGCCCTCGTGGCTAGGACGTACTTCGCACCAGGGACCGTCGGTCTCGAGCATAAGGCGATCGAGGTGGATTTCACGGACAACGGCACAGTTCTCGGCGGTCTTGAAACTGCAGCCGTTGGTACCGATATACAACCCAAGGTCCATAAGCTCGCGCATTTCCTCGGCGGTGCCCGTGAAACTGTGGACGACGGCGCCACGCTCTAGTTTCTCGAGCCGCGGGCCGAACTTCTCTTTTAGGAGGCCGACGAAGTCGGCGTGCGCGGCTCGCGAGTGTAGGAATAGGGGCAGTTGCGGTTTTAGGGATACGGCTAGGTCGAGCTGTGCGGCGAATGAGTGGAGTTGGATCTTCTTGGAGCAGTAGTGCAGGCGGTCATAGTCGAGCCCGAACTCGCCGAAGGCGACGAGTGGGCTTTGGCCAGCGCTACTGCCCCGTGCCTGATCGATGAGATCTCGGAGTTCTTCGATAATTGACGTCGTCCTTTCAACATCAGGCTCGTCATCTTCCGAGATTGGTTTAGAGGGGTCTGCATCACAGGGCATCGTGTGGCCGTTTGTATCTACATGGGAGTGTGTTGTACTAAATATAGCACTAGAACAGGGGTGAATGCCAGCGGTGGTGTATACAGTACCGGCTTCCGTTCAGTCAGCTAACTCCGGTCCCAAGTCAATAAGACAAATGTGAGTTTTACTTACGGTATTCTCTAGCTATCTCAAGAGCATGCCTGGAACTTGTGAAGTCAGAGCCCGTAATTATAAGTTTATGGCAGCCGACTTCCCGGGCTCTCGATACGACGGCGCTTAGGTCGTCGGGATGTCGTTGGGTACCATGATACTGGCCACGGAATATTGGGTCTGCAAGATTGATACCAATCTAGAGAATAACATTAGTGATAAAACTAAAATAAATGAGAAGCAAGTAAGTTAAATTACAAAAATTGTGTCTCGGAATGGCCATAATGATTAATATATCAGAGGGGGGAGGGACTACATTAGTGACGTTCAGGATTTGACTTACATCAATATACCGTGGTTTGTAAGTTGTCTCATTCGCCGGGCCAGATGCCGGCACAGAATCCGGCTCGCCAGCAGACATCCTAGGAACCGACAAACAGACGCCTCTAGTAAGAACACTTATAATTGATAAGCGTTTGGGACCTAGGCGTATGAGACGGAAGAATAGTGGATTCTGGAAAAGCATCAAGGATGAACTATCTCAACAGGGACTCGTTATTTCCCCATAACTACCTAAGGCAGCCAATATTTATAGTCTCATCTGTCTCTCGTATTATCTTCAGACTAATAGCAACTAGATGTATTGATTGCATGGGTTAGCTGGGTGAGTCACTTTTAAGCGTAGGAATCTGGGATGAGCCTCAACGTTGTTATTTGATTTATTAGATCTTTGTTGGAAGGAGCTCAGGGTGTAATCCACGTCACCTGGTATGCGATAAGGTACAATAAGGGCTGTAATGCAGCTATTTAAGTAGGGCTTATAAAGCTATTAGACTTAAAATAATCAACGTACATTTTAACCGATTAACCTATCTACATAGTAACTTCACTACCGTCCCGACGCCTTTCGGCGTTACGTAACGCCTTCTTGGCGTGGATTCCTGCAAGTAAACCAGGAATAAGGTTATAAATCGTATTAAAATCGTAATTCCGCGTAAAGTAAACGACGCGTTAAAAATAGGTTGCAAGAACCGCGTTAAAAAACGACGCGTTAAAAATATGTTTAAAAACTGTATTAAAAAACGACGCATTAAAAATATGTTTAAAAACCGCGTTAAAAAACAACGCATTAAAAATATGTTTAAAGTTATACGGGAAAGTAATGTAAGTGTAAGTGCGCGTTATTATATAATAACGTTAAATAATATTAAAATAACCGCTTTAAAAAATTAATAAAAAGAAATAATAAATAATTTAAACCACGGATATTTTTTAAGTAAAACTTATTTAAAAGGTAAAATAATAAAAAAGGAAAAATAATTTTATTAAACGATAAATGTATTAAATAATTAAAATAATATAAAATAAAATAATAATTTATTAAATAAATAATAATAAATTAATCGAATAATTAAAGTAATATAAAACGAAAATAATAATTTATTAAATAAATAATAATAAATTAATCGAATAATTAAAATAATTTAAAATAATATTATTTAAATAATAATAATAATTATAAATTAAATATTATATATTATAATAAACATTATACGCGATAAAACTTTATACGATAAACGTTATTATAATTTCGTATTTTTTTATAATAACCATTTTATAATAATTACTGTAAAACGCGAAAAGTTAAGTTTATATATTAAAATACCGTAATAATTATAAAATATATTTAAAAATTAAAAAAAATTAAAAAAAATTAAAAAAATGCGAAAAGTTTTATATATTAAATAAAAATGTGTAAAAAACGTAAAACTTTAAAAAAATTAAATTTAAATAATCGATTTAATAATTTAAATTTATAATTAAAAATTTACACGTACGATAAAAAATATATAAATAATAAAATACGATAATAAAATAAAAAAACGTTAAAATAAAAAAACGTTAAAAAACGGTAAAATATAATATACGAAATATACGAAATGTATAAATATAAAGTTTAATAAATATTATAAATTAAAAAACGTGTTAAAAAAAATTTAAAATGTAATTTATGTTATTTAATATATGATAAAATATAATAAAAACCGTAATATAATTATTTAAATAAAATTTATAAAATTATTAAATTTAAAATAATTAACGTACATTTTAATCGATTAATTTATTTATAATTTTAAATATAAAAGTATATTTTTTATGTATTTTTAAATTTTATATATAAATTAAATTATTTTAATTTACGTGTTTTTATAAAATAAACGGTAAAAAGTCGATTTTATATATAATATAATCGCGATAAAAAACTTTTATATAATGATTTTAATTTAAAAGTAAAATTATTATTAATTAATATATTAAAAAAATATTTTTATAAAAAATTATTATAATTTTTTTATAAATTAAATTTTTTAATTTTTTTTAAAATATTTTAATTTAAATGGATTTATATTTATGTTATTATTAAATGTAAAATATTTAAAATATGTATTTTATTTATTAAAACTTAAATACGGGGTAAATGTTAACGTAATAAATTTTAAATAAAAAAAAGTAAAATAAAATTTTATAAACATTTAATAATAATAAAATACCATTTTTAAGTTTAATAAATGATTATAATACGGAAAACCCTTTTAAAAAATTATTGGTAAAATAAAAGGAAATAAAATTCTTTACGACTAAAGGAACTGTAGTTGTATGTACTTAAAGTATACTTAAATGTAAGTCTTAAGATATATGTGTGCAAACGGAAACTAAGCGGTACGTATCCCACCTTAATCCTACCCACAACTTCAACCCCGCGCCAACACGCGTTTAGTGGTTTTTTTTCTGCCAGTGATGAATAGGCAGGGGCAAAGCCCTTGCTGTTGGTCGGGGATCCACGTCACCTAATTACATAGGATTACAGTTGTGGGCAGCTGGTTACGGTCATGAGTCACTGAAGCAGCTATTGAGGCAGTCACGATCGAGGCATCTAAGGAAGGAACGAGGCCCTTAAGGCCTCAGGGCCAATTATATAAAGAAACGGGGTCCCGTAGCCTTTTAGATTTAGCAACGCACTCGCAATACAAGACCAGTCCCACACTTGCTGATTAATTCTTAAATGATTGCAGCTGGCAAAGCTTAACTAATCGCCTGCCAAAGAGGGTTTAATTGTTCCGAGTGTTTTTCTTTACGCGCTAACCCGGAAACGCGCCATCAATTAATTCTATTGGGACGCGTTTTCTACTTTCTACATAAAAATCCACCGTAGTCGAAGTCTTTTCCTTCCAAACATCTCCCACTCAACATCAACCACAACAGGCCATAACATCATACTACATACATTGGATCTGCATGCTTTCCATTGCATACAGATATTTGTGGCTCTGAATTGATTATTTCCATTGCCTAAAACTTAACTTTATTTCATTCTTCATTACTTAATTCTTCATTTTCCACCCCACCGCCATTCCTTTCTCGGGTCTTCCAAAACCCAACCTTCACTTTCACCATGTATGTCAAGAAGCGTGATGGACGCCAGGAGCGCGTTCAGTTCGACAAGATCACAGCTCGTGTTTCGAGACTATGTTACGGCCTGGACACAGACCATGTCGATCCCGTTGCCATTACTCAGAAGGTCATCTCTGGTGTCTATGGTGGTGTTACTACAGTCCAGCTTGACGATCTCGTAAGTACACGATATATCATGAGAGCTAGTTCTCCTCTAACAAATCATTTCTTATAGGCAGCTGAGACGGCTGCATACATGACCGTCACTCACCCAGATTACGCTATCCTTGCTGCACGTATTGCCGTGTCGAACCTCCACAAGCAAACGAAGAAGCAATGGTCTTCTGTCATTAGCGACCTTTACCACTACGTCAACCCGAAGAACATGAAACCGTCTCCTATGATCTCCAAGGAGACGTACGAGTGTGTTATGAGACACAAGGAGGATTTCGACTCCGCAATCGTCTACGACCGAGATTTCAACTACCAATACTTCGGCTTTAAGACTTTGGAGCGGTCTTACCTACTGAAGCTCAACGAGAAGATTGTAGAAAGGCCACAACATATGATCATGCGTGTAGCTGTTGGTATCTGGGGTGACGATGTAGAAAAAGTCATTCAGACTTATAACCTCATGTCCAGCAAATACTTCACCCACGCTTCCCCCACCCTCTTCAACGCTGGAACACCCCAGGCGCAGCTGGCATCTTGCTTCCTAGTTGACATGAAGGAAGATAGCATTGAGGGTATCTACGACACCCTTAAGACCTGCGCTATGATCTCCAAGACAGCTGGTGGTATTGGTCTCAACATTCACCGCATTCGTGCCACCGGCTCATACATTGCTGGCACGAATGGTACCTCCAACGGCATCGTGCCCATGCTGCGAGTCTTTAACAACACTGCGAGATACGTGGATCAGGGTGGCAACAAGAGGCCTGGTGCCTTTGCTATCTACCTCGAACCCTGGCACCAGGATGTCTTCGAGTTCCTTGACCTTCGCAAGAACCACGGTAAAGAAGAAGTTCGTGCTCGTGATCTTTTCCTCGCTCTCTGGATTCCCGATCTTTTCATGAAGCGTGTTGAGAAGAACGGCGAGTGGACCCTGATGTGCCCTAGTGAGTGCGCGGGTCTTGCTGACGTCTATGGTGATGAGTTTGAGGCTTTGTATGAAAAGTACGAAGCAGAAGGTCGCGGCCGCCAGAAGGTCAAGGCTCAGAAGCTATGGTACGCCATTCTGGAAGCTCAGACTGAGACTGGAAACCCCTTTATGCTTTACAAGGATCATTGCAACCGCAAGAGCAACCAGAAGAACCTTGGAACTATCCGTAGCTCCAACTTGTGCACTGAGATCGTCGAGTACTCGGCTCCCGATGAGGTAGCCGTCTGCAACTTGGCATCTCTTTCGCTACCTTCGTTCGTTGATTACAACGAGGGTACCTACGATTTCCAGAAACTACATGAAGTTACCCAAGTTGTTGCCCACAACCTAAACAGAACCATCGATGTCAACTACTACCCCGTCCCGGAGGCACGCAACAGCAACTTGCGCCACCGTCCTATTGGTCTAGGTGTTCAGGGTCTTGCAGACACCTTCCTGGCACTACGTATGCCATTTGAGTCCCCGGAGGCTCGACAGTTGAACAAGCAGATCTTTGAGACTATTTACCACGCTGCCTTGACCGCGTCCGTGGAGATTGCCAAAGTCGACGGTACCTACTCGACCTACGAAGGCTCTCCTGTCTCCCAAGGCATTCTCCAATATGATATGTGGAATGTCACTCCCAGTGATCTTTGGGACTGGGCTAGTCTCAAGGAACAAATTAAGCAACATGGTGTACGAAACAGCTTGTTGGTTGCCCCTATGCCTACCGCCAGTACTTCCCAAATTCTGGGTAACAACGAATGCTTCGAGCCTTATACCTCGAACATCTACTCTCGTCGTGTCCTCGCTGGAGAGTTCCAAGTCGTTAACCCTTGGCTGCTCAAGGACCTTGTGGATATGGGTCTCTGGTCTGACGCCATGAAGAACCGCATCATTGCCGAAGGTGGTTCGATTCAGAACATCCCTAACATCCCTGCGGACCTCAAAGCCCTTTACAAGACCGTCTGGGAAATCTCTCAGCGAACCATCGTCCAGATGGCCGCTGACCGTGGTGCCTTTGTCGACCAGTCTCAATCGCTAAACATCCACATGAGAGAGCCTACCATGGGTAAGATTACCAGCATGCACTTCACCGGTTGGAAGCTCGGCCTAAAGACTGGCATGTACTATCTCCGTACCCAAGCGGCTGCCGCACCTATTCAGTTCACTGTCGACCAAGAGGCCCTAAAGGTTGAAGATTCGAATTCCGCTCGGTCAGG